TTCGTTATTTGTGGAAAGGTTGTAAGTCCATAGCGACATTATTTTTCCTATCCTGATTATCATTTTTAATTCTCGGATGTACGAGATGCCAAATATAAAGCTATGGTGCTTCTCGACCGGTGCTTAGTAAAAAATTATGTGATATTCGATTATTCTACTATAGAAACAAATAAATTAGCTTTTTCAACTTCGACCATCTTTTCGAAGGGGATTTTTTTATTTGGTTAACAGTTTTATCTGTGCAAAACTTTTCAACTTTAACTGCTAACTACTACTTCTAATAACAATATTTTTAAATGAATTATTTATTCATTCAACAAGATGGAAAATTTTATAAAACATTTATTTATAAACGACACGCAATCTCATCAATATTTGGTGGAGATATTCATATTATCATGTTTTGATGTTGATACACGCTCGCTGAAAACGAATTTCTTATCATTTCATATCGTTCAATTAAAGAAATATAAAAATTTTCGTATATTAATAAAAGGATTGGACTAAAAAAATCCAGAAAATTTTTTTATTTGAATGAATAAAAAATAAAAAATAAAAAATTTTTTATTCATAGGAGTACTACAAATAAGATTCTAAATGTTTTAAAAATATGATATAAACTTTTAATAGCATTTATTTTAATAAATTTAATTAAATTTTCATTATCATTTTTAATTATCTTCATTAGCATTTAGAGTGATTATTTGCAAATTAGAAAAGTAATCTCAAATCTCCAAATCGCTAAGAAAATAGATAAACAGATATGTGGAGGAATATGACATAATTTAATCTAATTAGCCATTTCAAATAGATATTCGAATAAACTTCATAGCAGTGAATTTTATAATGTTAAGGTATTATTACTATACTATGGAACTTATTTGAATCGAAGTCTATGAATGGGAGAATTTTTTATGGTTGGAAATTGCCTGTCTTAGCCTGTCAATTTGCTTTTAGTTCGACTATGCCAAGCAAATAGCAATCTATGCTTTCTATAAAAATCATTTAGCGTGCATGCTATGATGAAAAAAATTACTCCTATTTTTTGATTGATATTAAAAAATATATCAAAATAAATTGCTATAATCAATTCATCGAGTTCATCAATAATATATTACTATAAGTGATTGCTCTACTCGAAGAGGTGATAAATTGATGCGAAATGAATACTTTTTCAGCAACCACATTAATCAATTCATCGGATTACTGTTGTATTGATGATTAAGGCATCATGAAGACTTTTTAGGTGTTAAATAATACACTCAGTGAGAAGTTCTTAGAATTTAGTTTTCCTCGCCTAAAACCAGTTTTTATCATTAAAATGATAAATTATAGATAAATGATAAATGAATAATAAATGAAAAACAATGAATGCATGCTTAAATATATTCTCTGCCTAAATTTTTATTATTAAAACTAAATTTATAAAAATTAAAATATTTTTGTTTAAATTGCAATGGCCCTGAACAAATGATCTTCAGCTTGAAATACAATAATAGAAAAATAAAATGATGATTAAAATAAATTTATAAAAAAATCATTGTGCAAAATTTATCCAAGATAAATCTCTTCTATTTTCATTGTAATTATTTTATACTGAATGTTGATATTCATATTTGCTTTCGTACTTCTGTTGCCAGCCGGAAAAAATTTTTCGTACTCCCTGGCAAAAATTGTCTGATGCGATAAGACGACGGAACGAGCCTAAATAGAAATAATGAGCGCTTCTAGAAAATTCTTGCAATTAATATTGAGAAATCGAGAAGCACACATCCCAATCAGCAATTAATCTTTCACTATTTATTGAATTTAATTTATTTATTTTAATTCAATTCAATTCTATTAAATGCATTATTAAATCATTTATTTAATTAATGAAGTGAGGCTAATAAGCATTTGCCTAAACCAAAAGCAACAAACAATAATATTTGCCCGAGAAATTTTATAAAAAATCTAACAAAGTTCAAAAAAAAATTTCTAATTATTATTCATTGATTTCTTTATAAATAAATTTGATAATTTTTCGAAAATCAAAGAAAATTTAAAATTTTTTAAAATAATTTAATTAAAATATATATTTAATATATATTAATATAATTAAATATATATTTTAAAAAAATTATTGTTTTTTTTTTAGAGTTTATAGATCATTCTTAATGTTCAAATCGTTTTTTTAATTTTGCAAATTTTATTTTCGAAATCGAAAAAAATGTTTTTAGGAAAAACGATCGAACAAATACACAAATCACGCAAATAACTAAAACGCGATCAAAAATTCAATTTTGAAATAATTTTTAATATTTAAATAATTTTTCGAGAAAAAAAAAAGCAATACATAATTCAATTTTAATTTGAGAAAACCAAAAAGAAATGTAAAAATATCTTTTAAAATACAAAAATTATAAAAATATCAAAAAATTATGGTCCTTTCTAAAATAAAAAATATTTTCTTTGAATTCAGTCGTGCAAAATTATTGTTTCTTTTTTATTATAAAAAAAATTAGTAAAATATTTCTGTATTGAATAAAAATTTTCATCTATAAAATTACTTGATTTCTGTTTAATTTATTTATTTATGTTTTCACATTGTTAAGGAATATATTTCCTAAAATAATATTTAGTAAAATAAGCATAAATCATCAAATAAAGAAAGAAATTTCAGCAAAAATACTTCATTTGGCTTCATTATCAACCATATTCAAATTAGCTAAAAATATTATAAATATACCAAAAATTCGATTGGAATTTATTTTCACCTCGTTCGTTTGGTTCTTTTAGGGGAATGAAAATAAGGAGATTCGATTAAATTTATAAAATTTTCATTTTTCAAATTTTTATTTATGATATCGGTATTTCCGCATGATAGATATAATCATAGAGCCTCTTGTGCACTTAGAGGATGAATAAGAAGTACCATAGGCATGGATAATATGAAAGGTATATAGTTTTTTGATATTTTCCACTCTCTTTGGTTACATTTCTCTGCCATATAACAGTTAGTGCATATTGTAGCTAGATTGATGCGAATTTTTGAATTTTGAATTTAGCAATTCAATTTAAAGTAATCTATAAAAAAAATTTTTTATATTGTGAAAACTATTAAAAATAATTAATAGCAAATAATTAATTAAATTGGCTTAGAAAAAATTATAAGCAAAATTCTATTTTTTTTTCCGTTGCGGAAAATCATTGAATCTTTTTAAAAAAAAATTCGAGAATAGGAAAAAATAAGAATGGTTAATTAAATAAGAATGATTATCATTTGAAAATAAAATTGTTCATTTAAAAATTTTCATAGAACGAGTTTTTTTCTTTTTTTTTTCATCATTTTTGGCTACTTTTGGCTCTTTTAAATTTTAAATTGACTTGATTGCAAATAAATCTGCCAGGAAATTAATTAACGAGAGAATTTATAGGTAGATTCTCGATTTTTTCCCATTTTTTCGGGAGGAAAACTTTAGCGCAAGCCTTCCGAAGTGGATGCCGCCTGCTAAGTCATTTACAACCTTATAGCAATGATTTAAGTTATATATTTGAAAACCCACTTTTGCTAAATCTTTTTTTTGGTTATTTTTTATTTTAATTAATGAATTATCGCAAATATAAAAATAATTACGTAAAAAAAATCAATTTTTTTTGATTTCGATCTATCTATGCCTTCGCTTATTGCATGGGTAAACTTATCATTAAAGTTGAAAATGCGAATAAGTTTTTTAACGAAAGGAACTTATCCTAGTAGATCAATAAAGTCAGCCAATGCAAAAATGATCGCTTGTTATTTAATGATGAAAATTTCCTATACGTAACCAGTTGTTCGCTTTAGTTCATTATCTTTTTAGCACCATGGGATTTATTTGTTGTTTATTTTTCACTCTCATTTTGTAAAATCTTGCAAAATTTTTTAAAAAAAAAAAACCTGAAGACTAACGAAATGCACAAATTTTTCATTTAATTTTATTTTTTAACTATAAAATTGTGGATTTTTTCAAGAATCTAAAATAAATGAGAAAAATCATTCAATGAAAAGTATTTTATTTTTTTTTTTTTATAAAATCCTTAGAGTATTTTTTTTAAAATAAAAATTCAAATTAGTTTATATATATCATTTAAATATCATTTAAGAAAAATTTTTCAATATTTTAAAATTTTTAAATATTTTCAATTTTTAATCGAGGAAAAAAGCCATCAAAGGACGATTAATATTTGAATATGAATAGAGAATTAACGGAATTAATTAGTTAATTAATTCGATTAGTATTTCACGATAGATTATTTAGAATTTTACTTTATAGAACTTTTTCTGTTAAGGAAAAAAATTTTTAAAATTTACTAAATTAAATTATTAAATTTTCTTTCATTTTTTTATTCTATGCGAAATTTTTGTAAAAGTGGAATCTTTTTTTAAATGTTTTCCAGTGAAAATGAAAAATGAAAAAATTTATTTTTTTATTGTTCTCAAAAATTTAAGAAATTTCTTTTAATTTTAGGTAATTTTTACGAGAAAATTCTCAAAAAAAATCATTTTTTTTTGAGAAAACGATGAAAGAATTTTTGGCACAAATGATATTTCATTTTTTCATCATTCGTTCACATTAATTTCTTTCTAAGATTTTAAAAGAAATGTAAATTATTAACTATTTTTATTTCTGTCACCACGATTTCGATTCATTTTTGGAAGAAAAATCCAAGCGATTTTATTTATTGAAATATTGCTAAACGGTATAAAAGCACCGCCTTTTCACAACGAATTTACCACGCCTTTGAGAAAAGCACTTTAAGTAGGCAAATCGATTCTAAGAATATTTTACTTACTTATTTATTTAGTTACTTACTTACTTATATAACTTACTTGCTTGCTTATTTACTTACTTATTTACTTATTCAAGAGATTTTGCAAAAAAATTTTTAATTTTTTCAGCTTATTTGATTTAATGAAATATATAAATTGTGCGATTTATTTGTGATTTCTGATAAGAATTTTTTATTTTTTATATACTACAATGGGTTATAATATACCAATAATAAATCGCGATTCTGAATGGTGCAAAGAATGGCTTAATAAACGAATAAAAGAGCCAGAAACGCAAAAAAAACTCGTACTTGTAATAGTATCAATTGCATTATTACTTGATAATATGTTATATATGGTAATTGTACCAATAATACCAAAATATCTTCGTGATATTCATGCATATGATGTTGAATTTATTGGTTATCATAATGAAACTAAAAAATTAAAAAATGGAACGATTGTCGTACGAATGATTGGTGGTCAAATTGATTATCTTAATGAGGATGTCGAACTTGGTTGGCTTTTCGCATCGAAAGCTCTTCTTCAAATATTTGTTAATCCATTATCTGGTTATATCATTGATAGAATTGGATATGAGCTACCAATGATAATCGGGCTTTGCGTAATGTTTAGTTCAACTGCAATATTTGCACTCGGCAGAAGTTATGGAGTTTTGTTCTTTGCGAGATCGCTTCAGGTTTGTTCTCTCAAAGAAACTTCAAAAATTTTTTGAAATTTTGATATTCAATATTTTTCAAGAAAATGTCGTAAAATCAAAAAGCAAACAATATATATTTCCAATAATTCTCAAATACTTATTATATTTATTCTAAAATTTCAATTATCATTAAATAATGATTAAAAATCATTAAATAATGATTACCATCTGATTGTTTTAGACTTGTGGGATCAATACATTTTAGCTGATAATAACACTGTTAAGTTAAATTTGTTAAGTTTTTGAAAAAATATCATTAAACCTATTTTATCATTAATTTTAGCAAATATTGCCTTTTGTATTATCTTTTAAAATAAATTCTCCTAGATATTTGATTCATGTAAGCGATTGGAGTAATTTCCAATTTTTATATCGGAAAATAATATATATCGGCGCAATTTCAATTTAGTTGCATTAATTTTCTTCGATATATTGAAAGCGCTATTTTGAAATCTACAAAAGAGTAAAAAAATTTTACAGGGATTTGGTTCCGCGTTTGCTGACACATCAGGCTTGGCTATGATTGCTGATCGATTTACTGAAGAAAATGAGCGATCTGCAGCTCTTGGCATTGCGTTAGCGTTCATTTCGTTTGGATGCTTAGTTGCACCACCATTTGGTTCAGTTCTATATTCTATCGCGGGAAAACCAATACCTTTCCTTATTCTTGCAATGATTTGCCTTTTTGATGCGTTTATGGTGTTTATGGTGATACAACCAAAATCAAACAAAGTTGTAAATACTGCAGGCGAACGACTTCAGGGTACACCAATGTGGCGATTATTTATGGATCCATTTATTGCGATTTGTTCTGGAGCTTTAATTATGGCTAATATTAGCCTTGCATTTTTGGAGCCAACTATAACGACGTGGATGGCCGGGCAAATGCCAGATACACCTGGATGGATGGTTGGAATGATATGGTTTCCAGCGTTCTTCCCACATGTTCTCGGAGTTTACATAACGGTGAAACTAATGGCGAGATTACCACAAAAAGAGTGGCTATTCGCAGTAATTGGTCTTGCGATGGAGGGTATCAGCTGTTTTTTTGTTCCATTTACCACTACTGTCGCTCAACTTATCATACCTTTATCAACAGTTTGTTTCGGAATAGCATTGATTGATACGTCGCTTTTGCCAATGCTTGGTTTCTTGGTAGATACACGACATGTCAGCGTTTATGGAAGTGTTTATGCAATAGCTGACATCTCTTATAGCTTCGCATATGCTTTTGGGCCAATTATTGCAGGTGGAATAGTTACATTAATGGGTTTCTTCGTATTAAATATAATTATCTGCGTGCTAAATCTTGGCTATACTCCAGTGCTCGTCATGCTACGTAAAGTATACTCTTATCAACCATTTGAAGGCGAAACAGCATTACAAAATTTCTCAAATAAGAAAGAATATAAAGAAATCAATCAAGATGACGCCTACCCACAAACAGTAATAAATAATACTAATGAATTTCAACGATATTACGGAACGGTAGAGGATCCGGCACCACATCATTACGACTATCAACAATCCGACTATACATCAACGGGTTACAATCAGAACGATCCTTTTAATGCACAGTGGTAGCTTAAGCAATTAACAATTTCTTTTTTATCAGTTCTCGAACTCATAAGCTTTAGAAAATTTGTTTTAGGAAGCTAGAACTGTACTATAAGTGAGCAAAAATGTAGCTTTTTGTTGACTTAAATGGCTGAATTGCTAAACATTTCTAAAAAACGTTTCGATTTTTTCTCAAAATTTTAATTGTATTTACAGCATTTGTTATAATTTGTTACAAAGGCATATTAGTATTTAATGTTCATATTTTTTATTTATTTTTTTATTTTTCATTTTTTATTGTAAATTTTTTGAGCAAATAGTAAATTATTAAGTTAATTCATGCGTTTTTCGAAACAACATTTAAAAAAAAAAAAAATAAATTGACAAAGTTTGTCGTTTTCGATAAATTCAATAATTTAATAAAAATTTACTTTGTACAAATTTTTATTGAAACTGATTTTCACTATAATATTTATAAATTATAAAAGTTATAATTATAATTTATAATTTGTAAATTATAAAATTATTAAATTATAAATAAAAAACAACAATTAGTAAATTTTATAAAAAATTAAAATTTACAATTATGTAAATATAAAATATATTATTTGTGCCGAGTTTGCTATAATAAAAGTCTAAAGAAATTCGTCAAAATAAGTCAATAAGCATTTAAAATAAATATATTTAATTATTAAAATAATTCTAAAAAAAAAATGAATATGTTTCACAAAGAAAGTAATAAATTCGATTTCGAGCTTTTTAAAAATTTTCATAATTATCACAATTTTATTAGTATTTATGAAAATTGTTGTGGTGAATAAAAACCTCAAAAATCGCGACTTTGCATCATTTATCACATTTCAACAACATTATTTTCAGTACAAATATATATAAAAATAGAAATCGATGAAAATAACAACAGAATATTGGATGAGCAAAATAATTAATTAAAACGAGCTCATTATCGCTTTGAAATCTCGATTTTTTAAAATTTTTTTATATTGAGAATAAATGAAGAAATTTTTAAGTATCAAAATTTAATTGATAATTTCATAAAAATTTTGTAAATTAAGAAAAATGACTATAATTGGAATAAATAATTGGAAAAAAATTTTCCATTTTTCGAAATAAATATTGTGTATGAAATATAAAAAATTTCAGATGAAGTAAATTTAATTAAAGAGCGAAAGAGGAATTATATCAACCAAAATGCGGCTAAGTCGCATTTTTCATTTTATAGAAAAAATACAATTTAGGAATTAATAAAATTGAAATCATTAACAAAAAGATTGATCGATCGAACCGTCTTTAAAAAAATCTATCTTTCTAAAAATCTTTAAAAAAAATCCATTTTTTACTAAACCAAAATTTATGCCTAAAATTAAAGCAAAATTAAAGATTTTATTTCCTTTTGCATTCAATTCGACGAAGCTTTGATGAGAATTCTTATCGAATCGAATCGCTCAATTAATCACATAATTTGAATCAATTTATAAAATTTAAAAATGAAAAAATAAAATTTTAATTTAAATTTTTTCACAAAAATTTCATAAAAATTGAATTTAACTTCACATCATTAAGCCTAAGTCAAAGCCTATGGCTAAACCTGAAAGAAATTATCAATTATAAATTATAAATAAAAATTACTATTAATTAAATAAAAAATTAAAAATTATGGCTAATTAAATGAAAATTTAAAAAATTAGCACAAATTAGCGCTGTTATCATTTCTTCATAATTTTTAAAAACCCAGTAATACAATATTTTTGAATTGTTTTTTCGAATCTTCTAAAATTAACGAAAACTACATATGAGAAGAAAAAACATTTTTTCTAAATTGAAATTACATGAAAATTAAAGTTTACTCGAAAAAACTTCGATGATTAAATAATAAATAAATTCAAAAAAAACAAAAACAATCCAACCGTAAACTACAATTCTGCTATAAAATGGTAAAATAACGATTCAAAACATGAATTTATTATCTTTGCATGAAAATTCGGTGGATTTAACCAATTTCAATTATTAATAATGATGAAATGAAAAAATATTTCCTGGAACTAAATTCCATACCAATAAACCTATAAAAAGATTTTTTTACAGGAAAAATTACCAATATTTGCCTATCGCAATACAGAAAAATATGATTTTTTGAAAAAAAAAAATTGATTTATCTCAAATCATCCTCAATATTTGATAATCAATATAATATATAAATTTTACAATATTTTGGATAAAAAAATGTATATCGTAGCAAATTCCTACTATGGTAAAAGCTCTATTTACAGGAGAGAAAATAATTTTTCCGGTAAAATATGAATGAAGAGAAGGATCAAGAATGGTATGAGGTTAGTTAATTCATATCGCAATTATTGCATAATCATTCGTATGGAAAACATGATTTTATTTTGTGAAATGCGAAAAGAAACATATTGGCAGAAATTCCAAAACTTCTAATTTTTCGTTGGATTTCTTGCGTATTTTCCAATTTTAGTTAATAGTTTTAATTAAATTCAATAATTATTTGGAAGAAATTTTCGCAAAACGTGGATTTATAGATTTTTCATATATCTATCTTATCAGTTTTATTATGAAAATAGATCTGATAAGTAATTTAATCACACAAATATAAAATTTACGGAACATATTTATTTGAAGAAAAATTTGAACCAAATACTGTTGAGATTGCTTATTGAAAATATTTAAATATAACTTCTGAATATTTCATCAAAATTTTTGGACAAAATAAATATTCAGGCAAATCAGAGGAAATATGAAAAATAATTTACTAAAAGCCCTAAAAAAACCCGAGGGAATCTAACTGAAAAAAGTAGCTAATCTGTAAAAAGTCTGTGCAGAAATCTATTTTTCAATGATCATCTGCTTTTAAAAAATTTTTAAAATTTTTAAAAAAGAAAATTTAAAAGCAAAACTTTTAAAATTAATTTCAGCAAAGAGAACTCATAAATATAATTGAAACATATTTTTGCATATTTTCTTTCGTTTTTAATTATTCTAAAACAATGAAATACATTTAAAAAGAAAATGATTAAGTCGATTAGAAATTAAAAGATTTCAATTTTCCCAAAAGTCGTTCAGTCGTAAAGTGTCGTTTTTAAGTTACCCGAGGGAATCTAACTGAAAAAAGTAGCTAATCTGTAAAAAGTCTGTGCAGAAATCTATTTTTCAATGATCATCTGCTTTTAAAAAATTTGCTAATCTCAAATTGCTAAAATTTCATATTTCATATTTAAATAATCCTTTCTATATTTTCATTTTTTTTCTCTTCGAAAGTTAGCCATGATAATCAACCTTATTCAACCTTTTATTTTCATATCTATAAAAGTGATAATAGGTTGATAAAATTGAAAAAAGAATTTTACTTGAATTTTATATAAATACAATTGGTGATTCTTCAAAAATATTAGAATTGAATTACATTAATTACTTCACTTCTTGTTTCAAATCTAATTTCCCATGAAAGCTAATTTCCCTTAATTTTAGTTTAAATTAAGTAGCATGCAAGGTTTTAAGGAATTTCCTTTAATATAGCATTAGTGAACCGTATAATCATATGATACAATAATTGCAAATATTTATATTGCTAAATAAAGATTAGTTCATTTTTATAAGGCTTTAAAAAAAAAATAAAAAAAAAGTCTGTTCAAAAATTACATTAGATAATATTAATGAATGATTTGCCATAACAACGATATTGCGAAAAAAATATTATAATAATATTTTGGGAATACCATATTATTTACCACATATATAAATCTCTTTCTCGGCCCCATGGGTAAATAAGGCCATCTTTAACCTTAAATCATCCACTATAGACCTGAGAGCTTGAGGATTTTGCGTAGTGATTTAACCTAATTATAACAATGCGCTTTTTTGGACGGGAATCTCTGGTGATGTTCCTGACACCTATTCGAGCTGTTTTTTAGGTCAGCCATTGGTTTAGAGGCAAAACCTATTTATTTCTTTCTATGAGCAGTTCGTGATATTTCTCTGGCTCCTCAAATTCCTTCTTGCTGATTGTTTTTGTCACTTGGCTTTGCTATATCTACCAACAGTGCTGATTTCTGCTTGCCATCACGATACTCACTTGTCTGTCTGGATGTGAAGTGATGTTGAACACCTTATTATTTGCCACGATCTTCTAAAGTTATTATATATTTCTATTGAATATTGTTTTTTTCAGCTGGCTTTTTTAGGTGTTTGTGTTTTACTCAGTTTTATTTCATTATTTTCAATCATCAAACTGATTTGAGAAAATATTTTCTGAGTTCCATAAATTTTCTGAAAATTTATTTTAAAAATGGTTTAATTGTTTCTTTCGAAATTTTTTCGTTATCGATATTTTATTAAGAGTCAATCAAGTCATTAAAATTTTGCCATTAGCTAATTAAAATAAAATGGATTAACAAAAAAAAAATTAAATTGATAAAACACTGTGCCATCTATTCGGCTCGTCTAAGCGAATATTGAATGCGAAACAATAAAATATTTAGAAATGTTGTTTGGTAAATTTATGCAAAAAATTATGATAAAAAAAAATGAAATAGAAGATTTCAAGTATTGTCGTTCCAATTTTTGCCAAAAAATATATGAAACCTTAAAGCAAAAATATGCAAAAATCTAAATGAATCATAAATACTTTATTTTTATCTTTATTTTTCTTTTTCATTTATTATCATTTCGAATTATTTAAAATGGAACTTTCTTTCGAGCAATTTTCCTCAGTGAGACGTAAAGCAAAAAGCTCAAAGAAGTTCTGATTTGAAACACTATCAATGTTCAATTGACATTTAGAAGAAAAAATCTCTTTCGACGTATTTCAAAAATTCAAAAAAAGCAAAAATGCAAAAATATTTGCTTCGAGCAATCACCGATATTTTAAAATTATTTTCAAAAAAAGATTTTATTAATTCTAGTCGAATTAAATTTGCATACAATACATTCTTTCCTAAGGCAAGTTTTTTTTTCATTATTAACGATTTATTTTAATTTAGATTTATTTAAAATTTAAATATTATCGCTTTAATGTTTTATAAAATATTAATTTAATTTAATTTGTTTATCCACATTACTTATTTAATTCATTTTTTCTATAACTTTTCTGTAGTAATTTTTTTAAATTTTAATTGATATAATTAGGAAAGATTTTGAGCATATAAGCAGATCAGCAATATATGCACTTAGACTATGGAAGAATGGCTTTTATTACTGACGACGATGACATCAAGTCGCGCTGCTTATAGCCAGTGTAACCAGTAATGGAGAGTTGTATAAGAATAAGAACCTTTCTATTCACTCCACAATAGTTAAAATAGTTATTTGTGGCAATATTCCTGATTAATTTTTTGAAATTCTTAAAGGATTTGAGAAAGTTCGTGAATAATCAGTAATAAAGTTTAAATGCCTATAGAAGAATTTCAATGTAGCGGATTAAAATTTCAAAAAGAATTTTTATCATTCTCGTTGATTTCATTTACTTATAACTTAAGAAATAACTTTATAATCATAATGTCACGATAACTAATAAAATGCTCAAATCATTCTAATATATTCAATATATATATATATATATAAAGCAATACTTCAGTTTGGTTATTGTTATCATTATCATCAAAAATACTTGATAAGAATATTAGCTTTACTGATGAGCAGAAAATTTAGTTCATTGAAGGAGAGCATGATGAATTTGGCGCTTCGTATTGAAATACATATAGAATTAATATTTTTGCAACATGAGAAAACATTATTAAAAAATTATCTCACATGGAATTTCCTTCTTTTTTTAATAAATATTGGTAATCGTGAAACTAGTCTCTTCAAAGTTCATGACTGCATAAAATGCCTTAAGGCTTTAAGGTTATTAATGGTGCGTAAATGGTACGTATGAAGTTTAGTAGCATCAGTGGGCCACAAATGGCTTTGAGAAGAATCTTTCCCTTTTAGTTGCTATAAAGTGATATTATTTTATAAAACTGTAGAGTGATTTGATGAGATCTTTTGAAAAAAGTAAAGAAGTTTTACAAGTTCCAAGGCGATATTTAGCGCAGTTGCAAGTGTTATTCCAAGAAATGATTTTTGTAGGTTATTAAATAATTCCAACTTAATTCTAACTTGTTTACGAGCACATGAAATTTAAAACCAATATTTGCGTTTCTTTCCATGAATAGGTATTTGTACTAACATAGCTAATGACTTAGGTATATATAAAGCCTAGTGGCAAGGTAAGCTCACAGAAAATCACATTATGCTTTGATTCTCCTCATGTAAGCTTTTTCAGAAACCTTTGCCCAAACCTCCAGTACCATATCTCGATCACACGCTATCACGATATCTCGAATACGCACGAGTAGTCGCACATAATAACAAAGATGCGATTAAACGTACTGAAGAAGCAGTCTCACAATTTCGTAAAACTGGAATTGACCTCCAATTAAAACTTCAAAAATTTGCTGACGGAAATGATAATTGGGTTAATAATTTTCATTAAATTTATAACAATATGTTATATTATAATTTCACATTGAATAGGTCAGCGGCCTATTTTGGGGTCAGTTTTAGCGATTCATCAGTAAATTTATCTATAAATAACAGCCCAACCAAAATTGTCCAAGCCGATAAGCCATTAGAGCGACTAGAAAGGGTAAGCGCTTTTAGAAAAAAAAAGAAATCACTAAATATCGATGTAATTTTTTTTTCCATATTCCAGCACAATTTTTTTCAAGAGAATTTACCATTATTGGTTAAATTCGCTCCTCTGGCTTGTTGCATTAGACAATTATGCTGGAAGATCCCTGAAATGAGTCAGCAATATCACCTTTTTGGATAAATTTAAGGCAGAACTTAAGCAGAACTTCAGTACCGAAGCTCCAAAACTAATACACAAGCCACTTCTACTCTTCCTTTTCCTCACTGGCAATGTTATCCGGCGAAGAGAGCGCCTGCGGAATTTGAAGCCTGTATTCTCGGTGGCAATTGTCCTCTGATGCAAGATTACAAATCATGCGAATATGATTTCAAAGAGCCTATGCTATTTAAATTAAAACTAAAACTCAAAAACTGATGCAAATGGCATCAGTAATATAAATAAATTTATATTTTTTATTTATTTATCAGTTATAACTGCTTTTTCGCAGATCAATAATTTTTGGCTACCTGAGATGTATCTGAAAGTGCGACTAGCGCTTCCAGTGAATTCCAATCCGGCTTATATTTTTCCAGAGCAAAAATTCGCGAATATAAATGAACAACTGAAGTAAATCATTGCTGTTTCATATTATTTTTACATTTGTTTTCACAAGTTGCAATTATAAAAATTATATTTTTTAAATTGAGGAATCTTAAGAAAGGCGACAATTTTTTAATTTGATGCAGGAAAAATGTTGATTTAATTTAAAATAATACATAAGAAAAGGTAAAAATTTATGTGAAAAAATATTAAATATTCCATTAAAAAAACAATAAATTAAGTGGTAAGTTCATCTATTAATAACTGCCTAGCCAAGTTTGTCTAAGCCAATAAGCCATTAGAGCCATTTCATGAATTTCTTCCGTTAAGCTTAGGCTTAGACTTAGGTCTAGCTTTAGGCTAAGGCTTATCATTTTTCTCTTTCAACAATCTTTTAAAAAATGGAACGATTTTGATTTTTTCACGAAAAATTTCAGCTATGCATCATGGTTGATTCGAGGATTTTGTGAATATAAAGAAATGATTGATCGGTAAATGATAATTAAAATTTTTTGAAAATTCATAAATTGACAAGTAGTTTCCCATAAATTTTTAATTTTTCGTGTGAAATTTTATACAAATATATTTGTAATTTAAGAAAGTTGATTGATCGAGAAATGTCAACTGGTAAAATAAAAGTACCAATGTGTATGGAACAATATAATCGTATTTTGAGTTGTTATCGTGAACCGCATAAAATAGAAGATATTCAGCATTATAAAAGAAGCGATAAAAATACACGTTCTCAGTGGAATGAGCATATTCTTGTGATGAGCAATAATCAAGTATGATTTGCTTATTTTTTCGTCATCCGCTTGACTTTATGTTTTTTAGTACAATGTGCTTAAGAAGCTATACTTATACTTAGGTATATAGCTAAGGAAAAAAATTAACTCAAATATTTAAATACCATCAGGGCAAAATGCCTTAGTTAGTTGTTAAGCGCCGATTCTGTGGTTCTACTTCAGGAAAGCATGAAACACTGGCGACCCGTCAGAGCGTCTAGTAAAATTTGTTTAGTTCGATAAGCCAAAAGATGAGCCAACCAAAAATTACAGTTCTTAGAAAAAGAACATCATTTGAATATAAATGGAAGAAATAATTTCGATTAAAGAAATTTTCATTACGAAGAAATCGAGGCAGTCTTTCAGACTTTCATACTTTTCACACGTGTAGGCGGAATATTATTACCACAAACTGAGATCATTTATCAACTGAGCGAAATTGTAAGGATGAGTGATGGTAGAGCGCAAGATGTTGTTTTGCCGATTGCTGGAGGCAGTGTTGGAAATCGCGATGATGCAGCTGCATTTTGGGAATTGATGAAGGAAGGCAAGTTAATTTAAATACGCGCAAACAAAATAAATAAATAAACTTTTGATTAAGGCAAATTGAAAAAATTTTCTAAGAACTAGCGGAAATTTCTGGAAAAGAAGAAAATTTATTAAAATTAATAAAATTTATTTATTAATTATATAAAATTTATTAAATTAAATTTAATAAATTTATTAAACTTATTCATTTTTTGTAAACACTTGGTTTTTTCATTATTTTCAGCCAATTTATAAAATATGTGAACTTTTCATAAAGTTTCTCTATTTCAGTACCAGAAAATTTGCAATCGTTGGATCTCGTGAGAAAGTCACTGTTTGTCGTTTGCATTGATAGGCCAAGAAATTTGATAAAGTTCCGCAATGATCTTGAGTCAAAAATGGCAATAAAAGGCTTACATATGCTACATGGCTTTGGAAAAGAAAATTGGGGTCTTAATCGTTGGTATGATGCAACGATCCAGGCGAGCTTAAAACAGCATCTTTTATGTGACTTTTGGCTAAATACCCCTTTTCTTTAAAATCTCATCCTTGAAATTCCGAATTTAATGAGGAATGAAAAATAGCGAAAAATAGCGAAAAATAGCGAAAAATGGCGAAAATGGAAAAATAGAGACAAATAAGAAATATCTTTAGATAATCATTTCAAGTGATGGCACAAATGGCCTATGCATTGAACATTCAGTTGCTGAAGGCATTGTCATAATAAATATGGGAGAATTCTCGATCAATTATGCTATGAAGAATATGCGCCGCAAAATCGTAATGAAATTCGAAATTTTGACAAAAGGCAGAAATTAATTATAAACAGTACCAACTGTTTTTTAGTACTTTGCATTAATAAAGAAATTGGTTAGCGACAAAATTATTTTTTCGACATAATTTTTCGAACTTAAGTAATAATTTTCATAATATTTTTTGAAAATTGTAATGACAAAATTGAAGGTTTTTAATTTAATTTTAGAACAATTTAGATCGCTGAACCAAAGGCTAAAATTCATCCGAAACCTCTCACTTGGCTTGTAAGCCCTCAAGCAAAAAATATTATGTGGAAGCAAATCGCCGAATTCCAAAGGTGGTTCATTTACAATATTATTTGCAATTTTAGTAAACAAACATTTTTTTCAGCCCAACTTTCTTTTTTCATTCGCATTAAAATTAAATTTCAAACCTATGTCACCTAAGCGACTCTAATCAAAATGGTGCCCTACCCAAATAGTTAAGCCAAATGCTTAAGCCAGAAATGAATGTATACCGCAATTAATAGAAGTTGGAAGGGATATGTGAAAAGACAGTTATATTTCCAGTTAGTCATCGACAAACCATATTTGCCTAGTTAAGCAGATCATTATTGCCTTCATATTGTATTCCATTAAATTATTAATAGCCACCAATATTGACAGGTTATCGGAGGATCTGGAATTATCTGTATTAATTTTTACGGATTTTGGCAAAGAATTTATCAAATCGTGCCTAATCAGTCCAGACGGGTTTGTTCAACTCTCTATGCAGCTTGCTTACTATAAGTATGCTTTACTTTAAATATTCATATGAAGTGCAAATATATTTTTCATCAAAATATTTATTATTATCATTTGTTATTATTATTTGCATTATTCCTTTTATAATCAGCGAATGTCATCTAAAAAATTCTTTCTTCAGAGTGCACCAACACCTCGTTTCTACATACGAAAGTGCATCAATCAGACGCTTTCGTTTAGGTCGTGTGGACAATATAAGAGCTGCAACTCCTGAAGCTTTGCAGTGGGTGCAGGCCATGGTTGATAAAGATAAGCCAGTGGTTAAACTTTTAATATCTCTTTTTCCAGTAATTTACATCACTGCTTATTTGGTTCCCTCCATTTGCGATTAATCTCATCATTTTATTTTTATTGAAATCATTTCTATTCAACATGATAAATTTAAGTTTTCCTATAAATTTTTAATTTTTTATTGCAAAATATATTCCAAATTATTCTTATTAAATTTTGCCAATTTTTTTTTTTTTTAGCAATTAAAGCGTAAACTTTTCCATGAAGCAATTCAGAAGCAAGCAACTATTACTATGGAAGTTAGCCCTTTTAAATAATTTGAAAATATTATTTTGTGATCATTTTTCAGAAAAAAAAAATTTATTATAATATTATATCGATTAAAAATTTGAAATATTTTGAAAACTTTAAAATAAAATTTTGCCATAAATTTAAGAAATTTTTTTAAAAATTTTTTTTTTGAAAAAAGATGTCAATTTTTTTCCCTTTTATAAGATTATTGATGATTATTGGTTAATCTAAACAATACAATAAAATCATATCAAATAACTGTTCGATTTGTGAATATATAATATTTATTACAGAATATAACTGGACATGGTATTGATAATCATTTATGTGCATTGAAACTACTTGCAATCGAGGAAATGAAACAGGGACGCCTGGAGAAATTGCCATCAATTTTTCAAGATTCTGTATGGGATGAAACTATGCGATTTCCGTTATCGACGAGTCAGGTTGAGCATTTATTATTAGTGATAAAATTGTTAATTGAGAATGATAAAATGCAAATATTTAATAACTTGAATTTCTGACAAAGTAATCGAAACACCAGAAACGTCTTGGTGTATGCGAGCAAGAGAAGAAGATGGTCTATGGTCTGAATAATAAGTGCTAATTTTTTCGAAATTCCGGGTAATGCTGGCGACTCACCTGCATTTCTATCGCCAAGGGACTCCCTGGCATATTGCCCAATGCGACAAGCCAGTGGAGCGAGTTTAACCAGTAATGGTGGAGACTCAAAAAAAAAATTTTTTTCCAGATAAAAGCAATAGCTAATTAATAGAATATAGATCAATGTTCTTGTATGAGACGATTATTAAAGGTGACAACAACTACCACTGCTCCCGACGTATATTTGTGTTATGGACCCGTCGTTAAAGATGGCTACGGTTGCTCTTATAATCTTCAATCGAATAAAATAATATTCGCCCCATCTGCATTTCGAAGTTGTTCAAAGACGAAAATTGACAGCTTCAAAGCTGCTTTAACGGAATCATTAAGAGATATGCGAGCAATAATATAATGAAGTATAATATTCATTTTTTTGGAATATTCTCTTCTCTTCGTTTCCCTTTTAGGGTTCCAAGGATCTTCAATAGTTTTATAAGACCTCCAATAGCAATTTACCTAGTCCTATATAATTAATTATTAGTTTTTTTAAATTATATATTTGCTTATGCGCATTTGTAAATAAATTAGATCTATAAGAATTATTTCTTTCTTATTTTAAACTCAAAAATTAAAAATATAAATATTCAATTTTTCAATATAAAAATTAAATTTCAATATGTCTATGAAATCGCTAGTCGCATATCGCAAATGGCACTTAACGTTTCGTTCCACCGAATTAGTTAGTTCCGCTGAAAACTAAAATCAGGCAAATACCTGATTTAGGTTCTATAAAATATTTCATTTCGATATAAAAGTGAATAATTACTTTGAGCATATTAAGAGTGAAAAAAATTATTAAGAGTAGTTGAATCGTCGTTGTTCACTTTTTTGAAAAAGCTACTGGAATTCAAAGAAATATTTATACAGATCCAATTTTAATATTTAATAATAATATTTAATATTAAATTTGCAAAATTTGGCATTTATCATTTTTAAATGTTATAAAAAAGATTATTTACTGAACAATAATAAAATTAACATTGGTGAGCAATTATAAATTGGCTTAGTAAATTTGTTGGATTTGATGAAATTATTCTTTACTAAAAAAAACTCAATCAAAAGGTTCTATTCGTTTAATTTATTTGAGCATATATGAATGGTTATGTTCATATTAAAATGGTGCTTTTCTTATCACCGTGATAAGCTGAAATTTTTGATCCATCTTCTTGGTTCCACGATAAATTTGCCGTTTTTCGAGAATTGCTTCATTATGCGTGCAACATTCATCTCCTTCTAAAATATATATTTGCAGATTTAAAATTTGCAAAATATGAATTTGAATTATTTTTGTTTTTAAAAATATATTTCAAATATATCTTCGCTATAAGAATTATTAATCTAATTGATTGATTATAATATTGGATTAATTATAGGCTAACTAAAAATCTACTATAAATCACCTTTCAGTTACATTCACCATTTCATACTGATTGTTATTAGGATGGAATTTTTTTTGGCATGGAACTTTTAGTAAGAGGTTTGCTTCTCTCAAGAGATAAAAATTGGATTGGCCTTAGATGAAGCACCAGCAAAACATTAGGCAAATCTTATTCGTCAAAAATGAATTTTCACTGTGATTTAAAAAATTTATAAGATTTTTGGTAAGGATTTGAAACAATTTAAGAAAATTACAACCTGTATTTCTATGGCAGTTTGAAGGCAATTGTAATAAATGATCGGTTTCTTCCGATGGCAATAATCTTAACCAAGTAGGGAACGAATCAGAATAGCCAGTATCTGGGGAACTCGAGCTACGAAAGCTTGACGAATCCATCGTCTTTGTTTTAGTTTTTCGAGCTTTAATCAATGGTTCGGGCGATAATAGTTCAAGCTGAAGCCTTTCAATATTCGGTTTCTGCGGTTCTCGAGTTGAATCTAGCGAATTTATCTCATCATTAATTAATATTAAACTTCGATTCGAAGCCATTTCAGTATTAAGAAAATTTTTTTGTTCACGGTCATCATGATTATGGTTCATCGTATTTTCGCACTTCTGGTTGCTTTGAAAAAAAGAGTTGGTAAATTTCAAGCTGTGCATAGCTTGATTTTCCGATATTTCAAATTGTTTCGCAAGGTTGGTCTCAGTTTTAAATTTGCGTAGTACATTGGTTTCTCCAATTTTGTTCGTATTTTCTTTTTTTTCCAACATGAACAACAAACTAGATGGCTTTGGATGATTCGTATATTTGGATATTAAGTTCTCTTTTTTGCTTGAAACCATGCAAGCGGGTTTGGGTTTGGGTAATTCTTCGCTCGAAACAAAATATTCGCATTGTAGAGCCAATTTTAGATCGACTAGTCTTTCATTTGGCAGTGGGCAAAAGAATGATGTCCAACAATTCGAGATAAATCTTGCAGTAGCGCAAATATTTTCCGACATCTATAATAACATTTGTCTACTTTAGTAAAAATTAAAAAAATAAAATAATCCAAGTCAACTTTTCTAAATTATAACCTTTCTGTTTGGCTTTGGACGAAAACTCTCTAAGGTATTGTAATCATTCACATTGTAAGGCTAAAAAATTGTTATTATTGGTGTTTGTTTTAAATTTAAATAATAAATAATAAATTAATAATAATAAATAATAAATAATAAATTTTGCATTTAAAATAGGAAATATATTAATGTATTTTTTAAATCAAATATTAGCACAAATTTCATCGTTCGTTCGTTTGTACCGGCAAAAATTTATTTTAATCCTTTAAGTATACATAAAAGAGAAAAAATTAAACAATAGATAAGTCTATGCGTATCGTGGAGAAATTTCGCTAAGAGACTAAAATTATCCAAAAATACGAATGCTAACAATTTTTTCGAAAAGATATTTCTTCCAACGAAGACGATTTCGTTCATTGAACTCACCCGTATTTGGAAACGCTGACCGAAATTTGCGGAAATAATCGAACATTGAACTTAAATGTTGAATATCATCTGGTGTCGCTTCGTTAACCCATCTTCAATTTCTTAAATGCATTTAATATGTGAATAGCAATTTTCTTCTAAACTTTCGCGATCAAATATGCTAATTGGCTTTTGTGGAAAAAAATATTTAATATATCATAATAATATTGTAATATTATAGTATTATATTAAATATTATTATAATATTTTATATTTTTGCTTTTTGTCTAAAAATGATTTAACGCCGCGTTTGCATTTCAGTAGCAAATCACCTAAAAATATCACTAAAATTTCTATGAAATGATTGGGTACGATTTTAGAGCAAATCCAGAAGAAAGACCTCGTTATAATATTAAATTCATTGTCATCCGATAATAGAATTTTGTATTTCCTAGCCGTAGCGCTTACTGAGTCCTTAAATATTAATTATTACTTTTAACATATAGAATATAAATATTAATATTTTTGTAATATTCATATATTAAAGGTCTTAAAACCATTTTGTTTTTTCTAAGAGTTCTCCATTTTTGATTAGATTTACTCCACTAGTTTTTCGGTTAAATTTTGTTAGGGAATCGTTTGTCGATAAGGAATAGCTCGCCAGTATCATTTAGACTTTTGAAAGATTTAAAGATTTACTTTTACCAAGGGTAAACCACAGGATCATTGCCATGAAATCATTTTCATATGCCATTAGTATTATTAAATATTAGATGTTTAGAATATTTTGCAAGAACTAACCGAAGCGACTTTGGAACGTAGTTCGAGAGAGAATTTATCCCTATATATTAACCTTAAAATTACTAGTATGAGCTGGATGAAATTAAGTAAAGAAAGATCGCCACTATTCACGTTCAATTGTCTTCCATTGTTCAATTCGTCTAACTGCAAATAACCTTTAACACTTTCCAATATTTTTGAAATTGAAATAAGGTAGTTAGATTTTTTAATGATGTGATTTTATCAGTATAGATCGAAAATTTATAAGCTTACAAATACATTTGGTACTTCCTTTCTTATTAGACTGGAAATATTAGTATTCAACTAACTATTCAACTAACCGTACATGCACCGAGGAAATATGAGCACAATTTATCAATGGAAGAAATGAGCATATTGGATTGAGTAAATAATTCAATATATATTAGCACAAGAATATGCAACTGATAACAAATCTTTTCTTCAGTTTTGTTGCTATTATATACATTTTTTGGCGGAAGAAATATTGGTGGCCTTGGTAGCTGCAAATAGTTTATTTACATCAGAACAGTGGAATTTATTTCAATAAAATTTTGCCTTTAAAAGGCTTTTTGATAATTAAACTGATTCATTACTGATAACTGCATTGATATTATTGTATACTATTAGTGAATTTAAGTTTCTCGATTTTTCAATTAAATATTCAACCTTTGTCTAACAACGGCACCATCTCTCGACTATTTTCGGCTATTTTCATTTACTATTGGGATAGAACCCTTAGGAGTAGAATTGCAGCATTTATTTAGATTTCGCTTTCAATGGCATATATTGTTATATAAGAAGGAAAGCAATCAAAACTGTGGTACTACTCGACAACCATACTTCTCTTTTTTCATTATTAACTTCAATTTAAAAGATTAATTTAAAAATTTTATCAAAAAATAAAAAAATTTAACCTTTGTTTTTATGTGCACTGTGAATGGCAGTAATGCATATAAATTATAAATTTTTTCGATAAGTCTATCATTTAAAAATTTCATAATTTTTAAATCGGTCACAATATCGAGTTCGAGTAATGAAATAACCATATTTCGCCAATCGGTTTGGAATATTTTTAAATTAAAATCATCAAAATTCACTGCACTCAAATGAATAAAAGCGTCGATGATTCTTTGCTTACAGAATTCAAAAACCAAACGAACACTAAATTCAACAATATTAAAATTAAAATAAATGAAATAAAAACATGCTAAGAATTTTCATGAAAAGGTTTTAAAAAGAAAAAATATGGACTGAGGAATGGTATGGATCAGTGGATTGTTGCATCCATTTTAAAATTCTGCTATTGTGGCTCTATTTTCTTGAAGGGTAAACCTATTAAAAATCCAAGTGATTCTAGTGTTTCACCTGTATTTCTATCAGCAAATGATTTCCTCTTGAAATTTGTCTGCTCGAACAAATAAGTGTACTTAACCAGAAGTAATTTTAGAAACAAAAAATAAATAAATATTAAATTTATAAAACGAACTTTAAAAAGTTATCTGCCAAAAATCTCAGCATCACTTGCGATTTTAAATCGAAAAAGTGATCGGTGTAAAAAATTGCTTCAATATAATTCCCCATATTCCAAAGAATAATAGGTGGTATTTGTTCTGTAAAACGGTTAGCAATCATTTGAATAAATTCGTTCCTATCAATCCATTCGTATTCATTTTTATTATCTATAAAACAAGTAAAATCTGAAAATATATGCTTCAAATAATTTAAAATAAAAAAATGAGTAAAATTTTAGTTTTTATTGATAAATATAGATTTCTTATTCATCAATATAGATTTTTTATTTATTTTCCGTCTTGTTATAAGCATTTGTTATCACAAAAATTATCATATTATTAGTATAAATTTTAGGAATTTTTCACTTTATTGTAAATAAATATTGAAAAATTGAACCATCTTTAGGCCATTCATATAGATTCGGAAGCGATTTATGAGGAATATTAGAGTAGATAATCGGATAACCCATATAATATGCAGCTAATAGGCGAATACTGTTTAATATTTCGCAGGAGACCGAATTTTTATTAAATTCTTCCAGAAACAAATCAAAATCTTGTAAAATCCGCAATGTTTGCGGAAAATTCATTCCAATTTTGAATAGTTAATAAATATTAAATAAGGCTATAAGTGATTTTGAGTTCAATTAAATAATTATAATTTTTTATCGTTAAAGTGGAAACAAGTAAGATATTCAATTGAGTGGGATAGCTCAACAGTTATTATTTTTATTTCGCAGCGCCAATGCAGAGCAAACCTATCTTCCAAAAACCAAACATATAGTGATGGCAACCTACATTATTTTCATCGCCATGTTATTCCTTTATAAGTATTGGCTAGTCCGCCATTTTATCAAGGAATTTTGCCGAGCTTAGCCAGAATTGATGAGTCGTCTTGTAAGAAAATCAAAGAAATGGTGAGAAATGGCGATTAAAAAATATTATTTTAACAATAAAGCTGCTTTTTTTTATACCAGTTCAATCAAAAATAAAATAAAATTTTAATAAAATATCATGAATTTGAGATATTCTGTGGGAACCGAGGATTGGGTTCGAATATACCAATGCACCATTCTTCGTCGACTAACAGTGGCGCCTAACCAAGAAAAAAATGGACAATGGTTCAGTGCATTGAATGCTGATGTTGAAATTATATTCCCGGCAAGGGTAAACCTGCCCAAAAATTTGGACGATGCACGTGACTCACCTGCATATCTGTCGCCAAATTATTCTATGATATATTTGTACGATAAGCTTAATTGGTACTAGCGCAGCGAGTAATGGTGAATGCTTTTTATAAAAAAAACTAAGATAAATTGTTGAATTTTTGATTTCGGGAAATTTAACGAATATCATTCGTTAATTAACTGTAATTGTTTATTTTTAAGATAAAATTTTTAAGACAAAAATACGCATAAAGAAAATTGAACTGAAATCATTTGAATTGAAGCATATGAATTGTAAAAAAATTTTCTTATGAAACTTTTTACATTTAAAAAAAAAGGAAAAATTTATAAAATTTATAAAAAATATTTTATTACAAATATATTGAAAAAAAATCGATTTATGCATTGGTTAAAAATTTTGTGTTTCCATGGTGAACAGCGACAATGAATCGTTCAATTTTTCCTCTCATTTTCGATTTTCATCAAACGTGATTTATTCTTAAACGTGATTTACGTGAAATATTTCAAGGTGTTATATAATTGAAACGTAGTAATATTTAGATTAGCGTTATTGAAATACCAGTGATAACATAAAAATCTGATAAGAATCCTTGAAAAAAATGCAAAAACTGGGATTCTAACTGAATTTATTGTATAATATATTATTAGATTATTAGGTTATTTATATATTATTAGACCAGTTAATTCATAAATTTTACAAAATTCTTCGGATTTCATATTTTATTTCTAATATTTATTATTTATAATTTCTTAATAAAAGTTTAATTTTTAATAAAAGCGAATCAAACTCCTGAGAATTGGCTATTTTTCAATAGAAAAAGTTTTTTTACCAAATAATTTAATTGAAATTGCATGCAAACTATTGTTACATGTTCATTTTAATTGTTGCAAAAAATTATTGTTAATTTTTATGAATTACTAAGAATTCATTGTAAAATATTTATAATGCTTACAAATATAAAAAACTTTTTACATTTCGCCCAAAATTATAATATTTTTTTTAAAACCGAATCAAAAAAAAAGAATCAGAAAAAATAAGGAATATTTCTACAAAAAATGAGGAATATTTAAAACATTGCAATGTAAAATTACAAGTTATAAGGATCAATAGAATAAAATAGCTTTTTTCGATCACGAATAAAATGTAAGAACGGAGGTTTGATTTCCACGAACGAATAGTGTAGGAGGTAAATCTCGACTGAGCAATTCGAGCCAAAGTAAATACAAAGGATTTCCAACCAAATCTTCGTGAGCCAGCGGTAACGTTCTTAAAAATTTATGAAAAAAATTTATAGAATTTATTATTATGCCAATATCGCTTTTAAAAGTTGAAAAATTCGGCTGAAATAACTTTTTTTTTTTTGAAAAATTTCCATCTTTTTGGTGCAAAGGACTCATCATTGCTTTTATTATCAAAGGATATTTTTCTCTAAAATATTCATATAGTCAACAGCACACCAGCGGAGTGAATCTTATCAGTAATGGTGCTTCTTAAACCAATGATAGAAGAATTAGGAGAAATTGATTAATGATAATATGATATAAAATAAATAAGTCCAACATAACGATGAGAGAGGCTTGCGACGAATATTCAAGTAATAGCTCTCTTGATCGCATCAATTTTCGAGTTCGTATTTCATGCATATGAATCGTTTCATCACTTATGATTCCTTTCTTGGATTTTAACAACGATATCATTTCATTGTATTCATCTTCTCTAAAAAAAATTCCATCATTTTTCCTGTGAACCTGTAGTTCCTAATTGCTTTGGTTCATTCCTCTCATATTTCTTTCTGAATTTCCACCATTTTTTATTTAGGTGAGTTAAGGCTGAAAAAGAAAAAGAGAGAGTAACGTAGGCAAGGATGAGTCTTACGAATGTTGTTGTTTCCATTTCAGTTTGAACGGAATTTTGCAGCTGTCAAGATGAATTTAATTTCAATTTCCATGCTAATTAACAAGGTAAATATATAGAAAAAAAAGCAAATACTTTTTATATAAAGCAAATACAAATTTGTTTTTATCAACAATGTTTACCAATATTCTGAAAAATTCTAAAAAATGAGAATTTTGTTATTAGCGATAAAAAACATTTGGATGATTACGTTTCTTGGTAAAGTTGTTTTTCAATATCGTCACAAAGTACGGTCACTTCACTGCATTCAATTCGAAATTTCTTCATAAGCCTCACAAGATTTTCATGTTCGCGATCGCAGTCCAATTTATCATGCGTAATTGTGAAAATTCTGAGGTTAGCACCCTAGGAAATTTTATATTTTAAATTAATTTTTAATAATATAATTTTATAATAGAAAAATGAAAAATATTTCAAAAGAAAAAGAAAATTAAAATTTTCCCTAAAATTTGAAACTGAAATTAATAAATTTAATAATAATAAATAAATTCTTAAATTCTTTAATTTATAAATTCTTTTTGAAATTTCTAGGTTTTTTAAAATTAAAACAACTAAAACTAAGTGAAACAATGAATTAATAAAATTATTTTAAAAAATTAGCAAAAAAATATTGAACAATAAAATTAATAATAATAAATTAGTAAAAAAACTAAATATATTAAGTGAACCGTTTTGTTATCAAACTTCGTTATCATTCGTCACATTTAGTTTAAAAAATTTTTCATGGCAAATATATTAAATTTATTTTGTTTGTAATTTTTGATCCAAAGGTTTTTTCTCAAGAATAGTCGAATTTTTTTTGGTTCATAGAGGTCCTTCGATTTCAAAACTATACAAATAAAAAAAAAAAATTCTAACTAAATTTCCTTAATTTCCTTAAATTTTAATTTTTTTTTAGAATTTTTATTTTTTCTATTAATTTAAAAACATTTACCTCCAGATAACTCGCTTGATTTGTTAAAAGGTACGGTATCAGTAAGGTTAATCCACCATCGTCATATAGCCACCATACATCGATTATGCCGTTCTTCATCCGTTTTGTAAACTTCGTTGTCATTCGTTTCTGCCTTCTTTAAAGCACAAATCATACAAATAGGCAAAAATAAATGCTTTTAAGGCTTTACTTACTTACTTCAACGTTGGATCCTTTAGTGACATATGAAAGGTTTGGGAAAAACCTGTTGAACGATGGCCACCCAATCGTCGTATGTTTTCAACCGATTGTGACTGTCGCAAATGAGCTGAATTTTTGCAGCATTTATTATTATTATTATTATGAGCGATTTGTTAAAATAACATAAAAATCTAATAGAGAGAAAAAACTGAACTGAAATTTCCAGTAGGAGTTTCCTTTTTCTTTTTCCTTTTTGGTTTGGTTTCAGATTGTGTTTAAAATAACATAAAAATCTAAATCTAATAGAAAGAAAAAACTGAACTTAAATTTCCAGTAGGAGTTGTTGGCCTTTTTGGTTTGGTTTCAGGTTGCGTACGACTAAATTCTTCACATAATGATGAAGTTGAATCGGAAAGCATCTTAAAATCAATGAATCAATCAAATAACTGAACAATGACCACAAAATTTTTACTAAATTTTTATAAAATTCTTGAAAAGCTTTTTTCTTCTTTTTTATAAGATTCTTGAAAAACGAAGGCAAAAGGCACAATCGAGGAATATATCAAAAATCATGGAGATAAATATAAATAAACAAAAAATTTGCCAGATTACCAAATCGGGAAGTTTAAGAAACGAACTATCCTCGGAAGTCATCATGCTCATGCTATGATCGAAGCCCTCGTTACGATTACGAAAAATGCATAAACTCATTTGCGATTCGAAAGCATCTCTAAAAAATTTCTTGAATTTTTTTTTTCTTTACGAAAAATTTTTATGAATTTAAATAATTTTTTTTCATTTATGTATTGTTATTACCGTATAACTCCGAGATAATCGCTTATTTCGCCCATATCGGCGAGGCATGTTTTAAGCCATTTTGTTTTAAAACCCATTAAAATGATATTCGGTTGCATTTTTCCTAAACCAACCGTTTGCAATAACGATTGAACACCTTTGCTAAGCGATCTACAAAAATCTTTTAATTACGACAAAATTTTAGAAATATTTTATATAGAAAAGCGATTTATTAAAAAAAAGGATTATGAAAAATTGAAAATTTAACCTGTTAGCGACGGCACAGTAGAATGCCTTTATTTTATGTTCATTAAACCACTGAGTAAAAGTTGTATTCAATTTTTTTATGCAAGAAGTTGCTGCCACTGATGTTTGATACTTAACAATTGAAGATTAATTATTTGGTATATTTTTGATAAAATAAAGAATGAATTAAATAATACATTAGATATTTGATATTTCAAAAAGTACAATTATTGTTTTATCATTCTGATAATTTAAAATTTCATTGTTTTATCATTTTGATATTAAAATTTGTGAATTTCTTGAGAAAATTGAAAAAAAAAAGCTGAAAATTATTAACGAATTGGAAATATCTTTTTCGAGAAATATAATATCCCTTAATTATTCATAAAAATATACGGGAATAGCGTAGTGATTAACATTGGCGATCCCGATCTTCCAGGCCTCCAGCACTCGAGATTGAGGGTGGTCCATACCACTCACGTGGGATGGAAAAGGGAGTTTTTAATAATGTGATAAAGAGAAAAGAAGAAAATGACACCTACAGGCACAACATGAGCACAAATCATTAGATTCTGTCCTTTACCAATACCATAAGCAAAATCGACTAAATCTTGTCTTGCTGATGGATTTCCTGTTAGCACTAGAAGCTGTGGTCTATAATTCTGAAAAGAAATAGAAGTATGATTTATAAAATTTGGTGGAATTATAAAAATCGGGGTGTTTAATACAAAAAATGGAAAAAAATCACCTTCACATGTTCTTCCATCTGCATTAATTTAAGCAAACCCAAGAGCGCATTTCTATAGCTGTTTGCTTGAGTTGAAGAACCCCAATTAATATCTAAAACGAGAGATATATGAAATAGAAACGTCTCATCTCATGATCCTCCTTTAAATAACAATTTATGTTGATAATTTTGCTCCTTCTTTATCTATATTGCTTCTGAATTTCCGCCTTCCATCCTTGTGATCCACAGCAACCCACCTGGCTCAAACTTATAGTGAAAATTTTACAGCTGCTAAACTCTTCGCTCTGATTTGATCAAATCATAGCACATTACCATAATAAAATAATCATTATCATCATCTTTTCTTATTAAAAAATTTTATGTATGGATCTACGAAATAAGGAAAGGAAAAACTAACTAGTTTTATTAGTTCTTATATAAATAAAAAGTAAAATAAATATTCCAAATGTTATTAACGCTGTTATCCACGATAACAAAAACATAATTATAATGCAAAGTATTGAACCAAAAAGTGATAACCATTTGTTATAAAATCGAAACGATGGACGAAAGCCTAAAATTTATTTAATCAATTTTAAAGTATTTTAAAGTATTATAAGTATAATTTTAAAGTAAATATATACTAAATAACTAATATTTCTATAGCACTGTATAATTTGCAGACAAAAACTACCTGGAGAACGAGCTTGTGTCGCATCAAAACAAGCAAAATTCGTTATAGCAAATGCAGCTAAGAAGAAATTTGTAATTATTATGGAAATCATATTCAATTCGCCTTTAAATCAAATAATATTAAAAAAATATTTAAAAACTGCATTATATGCATTCAAAAAAAAAAATTATAAACTGGAAAAAAATAGCTCCAAATGTAAATATTTTTTTTCTTTTAGCAGATTATATTTTCTTGGCTCTGATATATAAATGCTAATGGCCAACAAATATGACCCTGGCTTTAACTTTTAATAAAATTTACTGATGCAAGTTTAAATATTTAAGTATTAGATTAATTTACAATTTTCTTAAAATTTTTTCATCAATCTTAATGTCTATTGAAATTTTTAATTTCTCATTCTGCAAAAAAATATGATAACCGATAGAAATGAAAGCCACTGCTAGCACGAAGGTAAGGAAGTAGGCGCGATAAGGCTCATTGTTACGACCATGGCCTTTACGGAAATATGACAAATATGGATAAATGTCGTCAGCACAAAGTGCCTGGAATTTTCCAGCTTCCATTATTGGAGAAATAGCATAGCAGTTAGCTGATAAAAGCATTCAGCATTTATAGATTCGTTAATTTAACATATTTTGCAAAAATGAATTAAAAGAATTATTAGAAAATTAACTTGAAAAACACGTGGTGCTCCAATAAGACAACTGGAAGCGGAACTCAAAGTTGATGCAAGAATTCCCAATATGACAAATGGTTTAAACGCACCTTGAAGTAATACAATCTAAATATAATGTTAAATCAGTTAAGTTTTTTAAGTTTTTAAATTCATATTTAATATTACTATTTCTTTATAATTATTACTATTATTATTATTGTAATATTATTATTATTAATTATTATTATCATTTATTATTATTTATTAATATTATTATTATTTATTATTATTATTTATTATTATTGTTATTTTATTATTATTATTATTTTATTATTATTATTATTTTATTATTATTTTATTATTATTATTATTTTATTATTATTGTTATTTTATTATTATTATTTTATTATTATTATTATTTTATTATTATTATTATTTTATTATTATTATTATTTTATTATTATTATTATTTTATTATTATTATTATTTTATTATTATTATTATTTTATTATTATTATTATTTTATTATTATTATTATTTTATTATTATTATTATTTTATTATTATTATTATT